CCCTGGCCAGATCTACTGGGGTTTTGTCTAGACTTGATAGCATTCCATTAACAAAGGAAATCTGGCAAGCAGAATAAGATGACCACTCTGGCCAGTTTGGCTCAGCGATTAGAGTATCGGCCTAAGGACCAAAGGGTCACAGGTTCAATTCCAGTCAAGGGCACGTATCTGGATTGCAGGTTTGATCCCCAGCCCCGGTCAGGGTTGTGCGGGAGGCAACCAATAGATGTGTCTCTCTCACATTGATGTCTGTCTCTCTCTCTTTCCCTCCCTTCCACTGGAAAGAAAGGGGGAGAGGGAGGGGAGGGGAAGAGAAGGGAAGGGAGAGGAAAAAAGGGAAGGGAAGGAAGATTTAAAAAAAAAAAAAAAAAGACCTCCCACACTTAGAATAATAGTTGGGAAATCCTACATGAATATCAGTTTTGAAACAGGAATTATTTATTTAATATCCATAGAAGGAAACTTGCAAGATAAAGTAATTATGGTGGTGTGTGTTATAGGTGCCCATTGCTCTGTTGCTGGGTAATCATATTTATTATAATTGATTGAGAGCCCCTTCTGTTCCATCGCACTGTGGAATGCAGACACCAAATGGCCAAGAAGAGCATCACAGGAAAACTAAGTAAAATGCTATTTTTCTTCATTGGTAAATGGGCTTCTGGTCCTGTTTACAACAACATATAACTTAAGTTGGATGCTGTTTTCGTTGGAGCTATTTGGCAGGGTGTTTTTTGTTTTGTTTTTAATCTTTTTCATTTAACTTGTACTCTCTCTACTTAAAACAGATGAGTAACGGTTCGTTTAAGCATGTTTCATAGAGCAGCAATGCACTGTGATTGTTAAATGAACAGAATGCCTATTTTAACAATGTGATGCCAGAAAGGCTAAGCAGACACTTGCCAGAATGACAGTGTGCTCGAATACCCCACAGAATACATTTGAGGGCTGTCATGAGACTCCCAGCTCACTGTGATTGCATGGACGATGCACAGACAGAAGCAGCCTCAGACCTAGATTTTTCACTCCAGTTAGGGCTTCATAGACCATCGTCTGTGAAGCATGGGTTTTACCGCAGTAAGATGATGCTGTTTTAAATAACATGCAGTCCTTTGTACTAATTAGTGTGCCTTGTATCTTGAATTTTTTTTTTTTTCTTAATCCATACCCAAGGATATGTTGTACTGATTTGAGAGAGAGAGAGAAATATTGATAGGTTGCCTCCCATATGTACCCTGACTGGGATCAAACCCACAACCTGGGTGTGTGCCCTGATGGGAGTCGAACCCGCAACCTTTCAGTGCACAGGACAACAACGCTCCAACTGACTGAGCCACACCAGCCAGGGCTTGAATTTGTTTTTTGATGATTTCCTTTCAATGCACTTTATTCTCTTTTAATTATAAAGATAACTCATACTTGTAATCACATGGAATTCTCAAAAGCGAAAATTAATACGTTACCTCTATTCTCCTGGTTCAAATCCCTGTCCCACCCTCATTTCCCCTCTTGAAGGAAACCAGCCTTTACAATTAGGTATGTATCCTTCTCTTTTTTTTCTTTCTCTTTTTCACAACACATTTCTTCATACACATATATGGAATTTCTTCTGTATTTTTTTCAAAAATTAAATCATAGCAAACTGTTTTTTTTAATTAAAGTATAGACCTCTTTCTAAATCTGTACAGACAAATTTATTTCATCTATTTTAATTACTGAATAACATTTTATTATAAGGCTGTTGCATATATTATTTAGCTTCTCACCGGTTGAACTTTCTGGTTGTTTCCAGTGGTTTACTATTACAAACATTTACTATTACAGTATTAGCATACTTTCGTAAGCCTTATGGTCATTTTCCACTCAGTAAAGTGTGTTGCTAAAGAAATGAAAAAGTAGGAACCTTCTATCTTCAGCTATTATCTATAATCATGCATTTCTGTAATTAGTGGCCTGTTACCTAGTAATAAGAATTTCAGAGATTTATGTGTAGAATATCTCTTTATATCTGGAGCGGCTACAAACATAGCTTTCATTTTGTGCTGGAGTCACTTGTGGTTAGCTTCTGTGTGTGGACTCACTGCAGAGCAGAGGTGAACTTGCAGCTGTCATCATGTCCCATCTAGACCCCTTCAGGGTGAGTAATTACTTGGGTTTGGGAAAACCTAGTAATCTAATGATAGACTACCCAGTCAGCCAGGGTTTGCTAGTTTTACCTTCTTAGACTGTGGCCTTAGATTTTTATGAATGTGAGAGCCTGGCTTTTATAGTGAATTAATTTAAAAAGTGCTCTGTGGTATAGGGAGGGACTCCTGCTTTGATGATGTGAAAAATTTGCTCAGACCCCCTAAACGGCTTAATAGGCGATCAGTAATATTACTGGCCATACGTTTCAGGATTTTTGAATACTCAGGGAGAATTCTAAACCATGTGCTTGCTTATGAAAACAACCAACTTCCATAAGTGAAAATGAGCATGCTTATTAATGGGGCTGCAATCGCTCATTGCATTCAGTCACGTTTATAACCCGAAAGAGTGACTGTTTTGCATGATTTAGTGTTTACAAAATTACAGTCGCACAGCAAAGCTTACTGTATATGAAGCATATGTGGTCCTTTTGCAGGTAATAAAATGGAAAATCCAATTCGCAATTGCAGAATAAACCTCTTGAGTAACACATGATGTTCATAGCAGCATCGGTCAGAAGGTCATCACTAATCAGGGCGCTGGCTAGCTTCCCCGGTGGCCTGGGCTATCCCACTGAAGAGTGAGCATAGGGCTTCTGTCTGGGAGCCAGCCAGTGTGTCTGTAGATACACCACTCTCTAGCTATCAGATCCCCTCCGTCACAGTGCTTAATCCTGCTGCCTGATCCTTGTTAGAACAGCACCAGAGCGCCGCCCAGGCTTCTAATAAAGGAGCCGGGTGAGGGCTCCTAACTGGACGCGCTGAAGCGTGCAGCGGTGCGGGCGATTGCAGCCTGCCTGACAGTGGGCTGAGATGCTTCCTGCATGTTATTACTTGAAAGGGAACCTACCTCCGACAGCTGACAGATGAGCTTTGCTGAGGCAAGGGTAACTTGTTGCTAGGCCAATATGAGACGGGTGTCATCTTTTCCTACAATATAATGGCCTAGCTTTACTCTAATTATATTAACCTCTTCTGAAATGGCTGCATTCCAGGCTGATGCTCAGTGAGGTAGGAAAGCCAGAGACAAATAGCCGGCTGGGAGGATTACAGCGGCACAGAAGCAGGTATTGTGTTCTCCACCAGTGACATTAAGTTGGAAAACAAAATAAGCACGCCCTATTACGCCCGGCCTGGTGATAACTCTGAAAAGGCAGTGCTCGGTTTGCCGCACATGATTTCCATCTCTGTCACCTGTAATAGTCGCCTGCTTTCAGGTTTGCTGTGGACATTAAACATGGCTTTCACGGTTCTTTGTTTAAAAAAAAACAGTGTCAACGACAGAGCTATTGTTTTGGGGGTTTTTTGCTTCCCCCGGTGAACCTGAATCATTCTTTTCTATTAGGCTCCCTATTTCTGGTCGCTGTATGAAACTCCAGTGCATGTGATTGGGTAGCATTGTTCGAGACTAAACTGAACAGCTGGGCCTTTCAGTGTACCCTGACTTTTCAGACATCGGTATCAGACTCCTGGTCCCCGAAGGGAGTGTGTCCAGCCCGCATCCAGCATCTCCTGCCTGCTCCAGTTAGCAGGCATCATTAGCAATCCCCTACGCCTCTTCTGTCTCCATTGACAGCACTTTAATGGAGACATTGCTAAGGATTGACAGATCTCCGGGGGTGAGAGGCTGCAGACAGAAGGGCCCAGAGAACTGCGGCTGGCCTTTCCTGGCAGCATTCCCTTAGGTCTGTCTCCATGTGTTGCAATCAGGGAGCATAGAATCTAGTATATCATTTTTAGAGGATTATTACTCAAAAGGCTGCAGGCTTAGTAAGAGGCTTTCAATAAGTTAACAAGAGGCCGTATACATTCCAAAGTAGGGGTATAGGTAGTTGGTAGTAGAACGCAGGCCCTTCTTTTCCACAGAAATAGGCACCTGTAACTTCAAGGATAATTAAAACCTGCATTGCTCATAGCATATGTGGACTTTTCGAGCTTGTGATACAGCCTGGGGAAGAAGAGTCTTACTCTCACTGTCCCATGGAAGTCATCCCTGGACAGATTTGGACTAGCTGAGGCTTGTCTGGGGTCCTTCCTAGAGTGTTTCCCTGGTCCACGTTGCCTTCACCCTGAGCCAGGGCCTTGAATGTACAGCGTGATGAGAAGTGCCCTGTGCTCCAAATACAGCTGTCTTCCCTCCTCTTCCCCCTTGTCCTCCCAGAGTAAAAGTCATATTCCCTTGATCCCTATCTGAACCAGATGTTAGGAAGAAAGCAATCCGTTTGACTTAATTCATGGTAATGTGTGAATGATGAGGAGGTCCAGATGCATGTTCCACAGATCAGATTCTACCCATTAGAAATTTAGGCTGTATTTCTCATTAGGATGGCTAACTTTGGGGGATGAGGAAGAAAGGTATTTAGGGCACAAGAAGCCACTAACAGGGAGATCCTCTTTGCTTAGGATTTGGTTCATTTCTTCATGCAATTTATGCTTTCCATGACCTCTTTTCTTTTTTTCTTATTCACTTTGAATTGCATATATTTTCCCAAAGCTCTTGTAATTTTTCATAGTTGATTCCAGGCTGATGCCAGTGGGTGGGGTTTAAAAGCAGAAAGATGATAACATGTAAGCATATGTTGTTCATTAGGTGTTTTAAGAGAGATGTGCTCACCTCTAGCGCCCCCACCCCCAACTTATTAGTGAATGGCTACAGCATGCTTGCTGTCGCCTGGTGTAGGCCCTTCTCTCGATGATCATCCTTCCTGAGAAGAGGGGCAGTGTACACACTGTGCATTTAAAACAGGACACTTTAGAAATAGACTTGTTTTTTAAATGGAAGACTTTTCCAGAAATTTCTATCATGTTCATTTTTAGGAAAAGTGGAAATGGGAAAAAAGAAGTACTAAGAGAATGAATGATATGGAAGAGAGGACATAAGAGTTTAGCAAATGAGATCCTAAGAGAAATTTAAACAAATTGGTTTCATTCTTGGGATGCTAAAACCCACTCCCCAAGTAAAGGTAAAAACGAAGAAGAGAAAAGGCAAGGCCGCACCCAGGTAAGATGCCCAGCTAAGCAGACTAATGCAGCTCTTAGCTTTTCATTTGCTGTTGGCAGTTTTCTGATTCATGGTTTAGAGAATAAAGCACATTAACTTCCCAAGTGATTTCATATCTTACTAATGATGTTTAACCATTAAGATGAGGAAATTGACATTATTGATAATCTTGGAGAGAAATGTATCTGCTTATTTTTGTACTTAACACCAACACACTCTAAGTAACTTTGGAAAGGTCATGATGAATTACTCCCTCTTGATATTTGGTAATATCTCTTTTCTTTAAAAGCATTTTATGAAGCCCTGGCCAGTTTGGCTCAGCGGTTAGAGCCTTGGCCCGCGGACCGGAGTCTCGAGTTCAGTTTCCGCTAAGGGCACGTACCTTGGTTGCTGTTTGTCCCCAGCCCTGGTTGGGGTTGTGTGGGTGGCAACCAGTCGATGTGTCTCTCACGTCAGTGTTTCTCTCTCTGTCTTCCTCTCTCTCTCTCCCTCCCACTCTATCTGAAGATAAATGCAAAAATGTCCTCGGGTGAGGATTAAAAAAAAAGCATTTTATGAAATTTTAATCACTTTAATATTGGGTTTTCCTTTCTCTATTTTTCTGAATAGTTACAAGTTTATGTAACAAAAAGAAGATGGATCCAAAGTATCAATTTTTTGTTTGTTTGTTTTAAGAAGAAATATTACAGCATCATCCTAGTAAAAATATTAATTTGTTTTTATTTCTAAAGGTCAGATCAGCTGGGAAATTTTGTGCTTCGTGATATACTTGCATCCCAGAATGTTTTCACTATCCCAAGTTATCAGCTATGACAAAATTGGCAGTAGAACCTCAGAATAGGATAAATATGTTACTCTGGTTGTATCCTGGGAAGAAGAATTGCTGGATGTCTGTGTTTAAAAAGCCTTGGACTGTGGACCTGGAGTCTGAAAAGGACTTACTTCCTCAGTGGGACTTTTAGGGAAAGGCCTTTGGTGAGGCTGGTGTCAAGCAAAACCACATATATCTCTGCTGCTTAGCTTCTCTGTCCTTGTCCCCTTCATAAACCAGCAAGTTATGGGACGCTCCTTCACACACTGTCTCTTGCCTGTTGGAATATACCCCCCCACCCCAATAGTTGACTGATCATCAGCAAATAGTGGCACTTGTTGGCTTTTTTATGCTGTTTCATGAACTCATCCTTGGTTTGATCTAGACAGACATGTACACCAATAGCTTCACCAGACATTATGGAAAGAATATGAGATTTGGAGTCAGGAGCCTTAGGTTCATATCCTCACTGTGACATTTTCTGATCTTGTTACACCATTTCCCCACATTTCTATTTATTCACCTCTGAAGTAATATAAATAACTGACCCCCGGGATTGCTGGAGTATCAAATGAGGAAATGCTTTGAATCTGTAAACTGATGACTCTACAAAAGTGAGTTTCTTTTATAACCATGTTAATGAGATCCATTTGGTGCTGATTCTGAGATGGTCTTTTGGTACCTGAGTAACGTAATAAAAATTTTACTTGGGCAATATTTTTATCTCTCTTTATATTGTTCTTTGGCTGATGTCACTGGTGGTGTTGATTGGATGGGTCTAGTTCTGATTGGACAAGCAGTGATTCACATTGTTAAGATAGAATTTCAGGAGGTTCCAATAGCACTTCTAGTTTTGGATGGAGTCATTTTAGTCTCTGTAGCCAATACCGAAGAAAAATAAAGCATATACTACCTTTGTAAGAATTCTGAGTTTACTTTCTTCCTACCTCCTTCCCTCTACTACCTCTCTCCCTCCTTCTTTTCTTTCTTCTTCAAGTCTTGAACTAGGCTACTAATTGCTTGTGTACTAGTGATGACTTAGGGTAAGAAATTTTTAAAAATCAAATCAGATTAACTAAAAGGTATTTAGGATTGTGCTGTGGTCACTGGGCAAGACTTCTTAGTCCTGTTTTGTAGGATGAAAGGACCTTCATCTTTTTTCTTCTCCATCTTTTCAGGAAACTTGGATCTGACTGGTCAGAAGCAAGTATTCAAAGCAGAGAACAATCCCTGGGTTACCCCGATTGCTGACCAGTTCCAGCTTGGCGTGTCCCACGTTTTTGAATACATCCGTTCAGAGACGTATAAATAGTAAGTAGCCTAATAGTCCAAAGTAGTACACTGGTTTTATAGTATTTGTAATTATGCCATTTAAAAAACTATAATGTGACATTATTGTCTTGGTGGCAGTTAGCTCATAGCATTTTTACATGTTTTATTAATAACCAAGTGTAGTAATTGTCTTATCTTGATAGATATTTTAATTGATGTTATCAAAGGAAATTTATACCAAATTTGCTTAGAAAATTTTTAAGTTATGTTAGTTGAATAGTCATGACACTAAGGAAATTTGCCAGACACACTAAGATCAGAACATACTTTTTTTTAATGCAAAGAATAACAGCTGTTAGGAACAAAATTGTTAAGCATTTTATTTATAAAATAAGTAGAGAATACTAGGATTGCATCATTGTATTCTGTGGAAACTTTTACTCTAGTGAGATGGTAATATCTCTAAAAGAAAAGGGAAAGGCAGAAAAAGAGGAGGGGGCAGCTAGCTTAAGTCACGGACAGAGTCAGAATCCCTCAACTCTTCACCTCAGGTCAAAGGCCATGGTGAGGAGCCCACCCTAAAGCCTGTTTTCACCTCTTTGTTCCTCAGTGTGTCCTGGTTGGAAGGAGCTCTCCCGGCCCCATCTGCTCTGTTATATCTTCTGTCATTATTTCCCCTCACCCCACCCCCACCTCCATATTGAGACGATCATTTATCTTATGCTTTAGTGACCCCTTAATGCTGAAATATAGTCATTTCTAGTTTTAAGCAAAAGACATAAAACTCCATAGTCAAGTTTAATCTGTTTTTGTGTTTGTTACCAATCATTAAGAATTTAACATCCCAACTATTAGAGGAAAATTAGAGGTCACATTCAGGTAGGAGTCTCTCTCTCTCTCTTTTTGGTATCACAAAACTGCCCAACACTCAGTGTGGCCCTTGCCATGTCTGTGTCGGGGCCGTGGGCAGTGCTGGCTGACGGGCAGGCTCCCTGGTTATAAATGGCCAGCTGTGGTCCTGTAGCCTCTTCCTGGATGCCAAGCTCCTGGGCACACAAGCTGGGGCCTAGTACGCTCCTGCCTCCTGTCTGACAGCATCACGGAGATGAGCGCTGAAGAACGATGGCACTAAAGCTGGATGTACTGAAATTGCCAAAATGATAGCATGTGTTCATATATGAAAGCAGCTTAAATCATGGTTTAGATTTCTTTAAGATACTGCTGCGACATTGACAGTGTATCTTCAGACTTACCTTTACAGTAAAATGAGAAAAGTATAGGAGGTGTGTGATTGTTTCAGAGCCACAAGTTACGTGCAATATATAGATATTTAGTTCCTTTAACTATGAATATAGCTCTTCCTTGGAAATTGGTTTAGTTAATTATGAAAATGTGTGAAAATGTAATTGCAAATTAGCTGATTATTGTTCATTTTGTTCTCTTAAATTGTTAATCATTGCTATCATCGATTTGAGATAGAGGTTTAATTTTTTGTTAGTAAATGGGAAGCTACTTATAGCTTGGTTTGTAGGGAATTGTTTTAGAAAATCATTGTATATATTTTAACATACAGCGAAGTACACAGACAAGCTCCTGTTAATCCAGAATGGGGGAAAATACTGTTCATTATTCTGATTAACCATTTTTAATCTTACCATACATTAATTTAGAATGTACAGAGAATTAGAATATATTGCATATAAAAGTGCTTCTAATTTTAAAAGATTAAGTTGTGAATTTGTTAATTTTGTATTACCTCAGTCATTATTAGGCAATTAGTCACCATTAGACGTTACTGCAGACTAGTTCTTTCTTTTGATGGTGGTTAGGATTCTGGGTGAATGAGAGGCGTGTTGCTTTGAGTGAGTTCATTGGTACGTTATTTGAGGGGGAATACATGACACTGCATTTTAATCACTAACCTATCTGATGCATATATTCTTATCTCTGTTACTGGCATCCTGTATTTGGGAACTGGAGTGATCTAAGCAATTTGCCTACTAGCATAACTTTTTGTATTTGATTTTCTCATGGAGAATTATATTATCTTTTATATTGTTAAATCAGTGTTAAAAAGCGTAAGTGAGCATTGGAGAGTCATTGTGCCCCCTTTTTTTTTCTTTTGTTATCCTCACCCGAGGACATTTTTTGTTCAGATAGAGTGGGGAGGGAGAGAGAGAGAGAGAAACATCGACATGAAAGGGCCACATTGAGTGGTTGCCAACTGCACGACCCAACCAGGGCCGGGGACAAACTGCAACCGAGGTACATGCCCTTAGTGGGAACCGAACCCGGGTCTCTCTGGACCACAGGCCAACGCTCTACCGCTGAGCCAAACCAGCCAGGGCTCATTGTGCCCTTTTTAGGGGGACCAGGGCATACCCCATTCACTGCTTTTAGAGAAGTGTAAGAGAGCCTCTGCTGGGAGAAAACACTTGACAGGAACTCCTCGGGGCGGGGCCTTTGGGAGCCCAGAGGGGTGTCTCTGGGGAGGGAGCGGTCGCCCACTTCCTGAGGTCAGCCTTGTCCTGCGCCCCTTCTCCCATAGTTCTCCTCACGCCTGTATCGAACACACCAGCCAGAAATAGGGACTTTTAACTAAGAAAGGCTCTAAATCAGAATCTTAATCTTTAAAAAATACTTGTATAAAAATGCCCCGATGATGTTTCATTGGTTTTTAAAATTTAAGATAGTTTCTTACATGAATACAGTATATATACACCTATTACCGTATAGTAATTACATTTTAAAATTTAAATTTTTTTTTTTTTTTACTATAAATCAAAAAGTGCATTGTCATGTAACTAGAACCTAACTACACTTTTTAATGTTCTTTAGCAGCACGTCATAATTAGAGGACTTCTTGTATCCTTTTAAACTATCTGAAAAAAATACTATTTCATTAGCAGGTACTAGGCTATTTTTTGAAAGTTGTACATGTAGCAACCTTCAAAAAGGCAATGTATTCATTATACTTATATATTTTTTTAAAGCAAATTTCACTTTCAGTACCTTAGTCATAAATCTCTAGTCTTAAGTCTGTAGTTTCCAGTCTTCAATTCCTTTTATGTAAACCACGAACACCTTCATCCAATAAAAAATCCTTTTTGTTATATATAGATCTTTAGACTATCATGATAGCACGTTTTTAATTTTGTCTTGGCACTGAAAATACCAGTGAATCTCTTTCCTTTTTAACCAGTTGAGCTGTTCGCTAAATGAAAGGAGTAAAGAACTGACCAGCATGTTTCATTTTCGTTCACATCTGTGGTCGACTTTCACAGTGACCTTCATGTTCTGAGCACACCCTCAGAGACCTTCCGAGTCTAGAGCAGCGACAGTCAGAGAAGATGGATTATCTGATTTCCCTGCTCTAATGGACTCCAAGAGCAGACATGGCCATTTGAAACAAAACAGTTGAAGTTAGTGTTTAGGAAAAATTAAAATCCTGTGAAATGATTTAACTTGCTGAGGAGATAAACTGGTGCAGTTAAGCTAGAGGAGGTGTGGGGAGGTGTGGCTGGGAGGATGTCGGGTATAGTTCTTCAGGAGGTGGTTCTTTTGAGTACAGTTTGGGCATTCATCATGTCTTCCTCATCATTTCTCAGGGGGTCACTCTTTGTTCCTTTAGTGTACTATCAGCACAGGGAACATGCTGGCTGGTGGCATAGTGTTGCCCATTCATTATGCGTGATTCCCCGTGAAAGTAAAATCATGTGCTTGGGCTTGTGGTTGAGGATCAAGCTCTACAAGCACATTTCTGTTTTCAGGCCGTTGTTAAGTTAAATGCAGTCACCTCTTCATGCATTATTTGATGGTCCTTGTCTCTTTGTATGACCTCTTTTATTTTAATGAAGCAGAACTATGATAGAATAGTCACCACTTGTTACGTTTTCAGAACGTAGATTATTTTTCCCCCATAAGAGAAGTCAGATTGGAGTCAGGATTCTTGACAAGATTATTTGTGAAAGGGAGTAACTCACACTTTTCACATTTCCATCAGGGAAGGTGGATAGAAACCTCAAGCCATTGTAAAAGATGACAAGTTAACTCTTAACAAAAGGAGAGGTTTGACAAATGCTGGGCTGAAAACGTGTCGGTTGAAAGAGGCATTTGGAAAACAGGCGTCCTCGTGAAGGCTGCAGTTTGTGAAGCATGGCAGCCTGTTCGCAGGGCGGCACACGCAGAGGCTGCCTCTGTCATTCCTCCTGTCCTGTGACTTCCTTTCCTCCCTAGAGAGAGGTGCCACACTCACTTGTTCTTTTGTTTGGAGTTTTAATCTTAAATGAAGACTGGCTATATGGTTATTCGTATTAGTTAATGGAAACATTGTAACAAAGCAATGCTTGGTGAGTGGTGAGCAATGGTGAGGAACAGGCAGGCAATTTCTCTTCACTAGAAATTGAGCAAAATAGATCATCCTGTTTGATTTGTAGGGAAGGATACTGTTGTTATTGTTTCTCAAGTTGTTTTACTTGTAGAATTAAAACTAAGTAATGTTTTCTTTTGCCTGTAATGTGTACAAACCTACTATAAGAGGTTATTATGAACATACATGGGCTTTATTAAACAACTACCACATCCTCTAATGACTTCTGAGTCAGTGGCTTAGAAGATCCTTAAAATAACGGACTTATCTGGTCTACTACAAGGCTAGAGCATTTCAACCTAATCGGTGATCTCATTCATTTTACGACAGCCCTTTGCAGAAGAGATTTTGTCTAACAAAAGCTATATAAATCTTATTATCTTCTGGTGAAGTATGAATGATGCACAGAGCTAGCAGATGGTTTTTATAAATACCACAGGAGGATGGTGGAGAAGGTTAAACTGCCAGGACCTTTCTAGTAGCGAGTGAATTCTATATAGTGACGATCAGTATGCAGAACAATGTAGACTTTTCTTTTTCTTTACTATATCTGAAAGTAGCTCAGATTAAACCAGAGAAAAACAGTTTTTCTTTATAGTAGATATGTAAATGAAGAAAGTTTTTTTTCCTAAAGCTTTTGACAGATTGTTTGTTTGTTTGTTTATTTTTA